CCTAAGCATAGCTGATAAAATCATCTGCTACAATGTCCTACCTGTCAATGACTACTTCAGCTTCAACCACAACAATACACGAGCACACAATAGATACAAACTTAAAGTGAACTGCTCCAAACTCGATTGCAGAGACCACTTCAGCAACAGAGTGGTCAATGCCTGGAATACACTACCTAACTCTGTGGTTTCTTCCCCAAACCCCCAAAACTTTAACCTTAGACTGTCTACCGTTGACCTCACCCTATTCCTAAGAGGTCTGTAAGGGGCATGCATAAGTGCGCCAACATGCCTACAGTCCCTGTCCTAATGTTCCCTTTAATTATATTCATTTTATGTATTCAATTCATGCTTATACTTATATATATTATCTAATATGTACTTGACAAATAAAAAAATAAATAAATGGAATTGAATCCAACTTGTTAGCATCTAACAAACTAACTTCCTGCTATTCTAATCCAAGAAATTCAGTCTTTAAGTAAAAAAGGAAAACAGTCCATTCTTTTCAACACTTCTCTGCAGAATTGAATAAAATCATGCTTGGGCTGATAAAACGCAGGAACGAAAACAAGTACTTTTGTATCCTAGCCAAATAAAATAGGAACTCTTCTTCATAAATTCCCATTAGAACCTTGTACTTTTTGTAATCAAGTACTTCCAGCTATTCTTGGCTCCTGTTGATGCAATTAACTTGAGCTTCAATAGCTTGCATTGCATCAATGGAAAAAGAAATATACTTCTTCTTTTTTATTACTGGTGTTAATATCGCAGTATGGTTAAACCTGCTATGCAGAAACTACAATCAAAATTAGATAGTTGCTCATTAAGCTGAAATGAATTGCATTCTTTCAGATGTGGTGAATGTCTCTTGGGAATGTCTTATATTAAAGTGATCTTCAGTAGAAAATTGAGGAACAATTGTGTGCTCTGTAGGTTGTTTTTTTTTTTAGAGAAGTGGGAAAATCTATTATTAAACTATTGAAATATCATTTAACAATATTCATACTATTATACAAATATGGGCAAATCTCTGCTGATATATGCTAATTCATAAATCTGTTCAAGTCTGTTCCTTATCCATTAGATTTTCAGTATCTTGAAAAGTCACATTATTTGAGTGTATTTTTCCACAAAATGCACAAGTGCAGATATTAAACACTGAAGTATGCAAATTAATATATTACACGACTACATGTGTTCCCAAAATACATTTTGCATATGTTTATTTCACTTTATATTCATTTTTTCTATAAAAAGCTCAAAGCTATTCTTAATTTTTTGGTCCTCATAACAATCCAATGACATAGTGATTGATCCAGATGAATTCCATGGACAGACAGAACATTATTATCCCAATCTGCTCAAAGCTAAAGACAATCTTGCTTTGCAAATGATGATACTTTCAAAAATGAACTGTAAGAGAAGAGCAGGCCAAGCTCTCTCTCTCTCTCTCTCTCTCTCTCTCTCTCTCTCTCTCTCTCTCTCTCTCTCTGTGTGTGTGTGTGTGTGTGTGTGTGTGTGTGGAGTTAAGCACAGCATCAGTTCAGAGTCATTGCTTTCCCACAAGCACTTCAAGTCCAATCTCTCTTGAAGCTATACACAAGAATCTAGTCAACTAAAGTTCAACATGAAATTGGTGCCAGATAAGGGTCAATAGAATTAAAGAAAGGGTTGAACTTGGAGCACTTGTAGGAACGCAATGACTCTAAACTGATAATGTGATTAACTCCACCCTCCAGCTCTGCCTGATCTTTCCTACATGATGTGATAATATTCTTAAAGTGGGTATAATAAAACTGGGGATAAATTTGATTCTAATTTAAGCAATACAAATCCTAAAAAACCAGGAAGATTTTATTTAGTAAAACAGATGACAATTTTCATGAAATTATGATAGACTACATTTGCAAGGGTAATACTGAAAGTACGATGTTTGTCACAGCTTAGTCACGTGAGAACTTTCTGAGAAAAAAAGAATCACATACACACAAGGAGTTTTACTGTTAAGAAAGTATATGCATGCAATTATTTCTCATTTACAAAACTGAGGTAATCCAATTAGGTTGATTGGTGGTAAGAGAAAAGGAAGCAGTGTTTTGCAAAATATATAATTATATCAGGGAGTTCTAGATCACATGATAGTTGTAGGGAGGGCCTCCAGCTTACATGGCAATAAAAGTTGAATTATACACAACACGTAAGCATTGTGATCACTACTGCAGATGGAAATCTAGAAAAGTGTCTTACTTTCCCTACATTAAGATGATTCCATTTCTACATTCATTCACAATTTTTAAGAAGCCCCATGAAAATTCATGAGTTGGTATACAGTTTCTCATTTCTACATTTTTGTATCTACCTTTCACTGTACACATCTCTTGCAAGCAGTTTTCCTAATATCTGCTGTTCCCCATCATAAGCACAGGGATGTGAGATGTTTCCTCCTTACTAGCTAGTGCAGGGGTCTGCAACCTTAAACACTCAAAGAGCCATTTGGACCCATTTCCCACAGAAAAGAAAATACCGGGAGCCACAAAACCCTACCCATGCCTGACTATTTTTTGAGCAGCACAAAACTAGCATATGTAGTTGAATTAAATGTTCTGTTTTCTTCTGAAACTTTTCTTTTCTTGGATTTATCCATGGTTGGTCTACCGGGGGTTGAAAAGCTCAATAAATCACGTGCCGGCAGATATCGCACATTGGCGGTTGTGATGCATATTTTGAGTGACAGGGAGCCGCAGCAGAGGGGTGAAAGAGCCACATGCGGCTCCAGAGCCGCAGATTGCTGACCCCTGAGCTAGTGTAACATTACTGAGTATTTGGTGTATTTGGTGTTTTTCCAACTGTAGCATTCACATGTGTTCTCCCACTGACTTACGCTTTTAAATGCAGCTAATAATGTTAATAATGGTATCCACTAGCCATTTTTAGAAATATACTTTGTTCATGTAGATGTATCTAGAGAAACCGCAGGATCAGGACCAAAAGGAGATATGTACCCACTCTTAATCAAATCTATATAAGATCCTAGTCTTATGTAGTAACGGAGGTGAGAAATTGCCTTGCTTCTTTAAAGCGCTCCATGGCATAGGACCCGGGTACCTTTGAGACCGTCTTCTGCCACCAATAGCCTCCCACCGACCAGTTCGCTCCCACAGAGAGGGTCTCCTCCGGGTGCCATCGGCCAAGTTATGTCGGCTGGCGACACCCAGGGGGAGGCCTTCTTTGTGGGAGCCCCAGCCCTGTGGAATGAACTGCCCCCGGAAATACGTAAGATCTCCGACCTCCGGGTGTTTCGCTGCGCACTGAAGACCCTGTTGTTCCGCCAGGCCGGGCTATCAACATAATAGTTTTAAATTGGGGTATGGGCTGTACACTGCCCTGAGTCCTTCGGGAGAAGACGGTATAGAAATAAAATTATTATTATTATTATTATTATTATTATTATTATTATTATTATTATTATTTTAAATGCCACTGATGATCCAAGCTGAGTTGCCTGATCGGCAGAGGCTTTAAAAAAAAAAACCAGGCAACTCAGCTGGGATCATCACTGGCATTTAAAAGAAAAAAAGCCTCTGCTGATCAGGCAACTCAGCTGGGATCGTCAGAGCCTTTTGAAAGCATTTTTTTACAATCTCTTCGCTGGAGAGGTTGTAGAAAAAATGCTTTTAAAAGCCTCTGAGGATCCCAGCTGAGTTGCCTGATCAGCAGAGGCTTTTTTTTTCTTTTAAAAGCCTTTGAATATCCAAGCTGAGTTGCCTGATCGTCAGAGGCATTTAAAAGAAAAAAAGCCTCTGCAATCCAGGCAACTCAGTTGGGATTGTCAGAGCCTTTTGAAAGCATCTTTTTACAACCTCTTCGCCGAAGAGGTTGTAGAAAAAATGGTTTTAAAAGTAAAAAAAAAAAAATTGGCCACACCCACCCAGTCACATTACCCACCACCACCACCAAGCCACGCCCACAGAACCGGTAGTAACAAATTTTAGATTTCACCACTATATAGTACCTAATGTGAAATTGACTAAACTGCCAGTGAATGCAGTGGGGCATTTTTCTATTTTCTTCATCTTCTAACAAATATCAAAAATATATTCTGGAAATGGAATGATCTGCAACAGATTTTGAGGCTGTTGGACTGTTGGTGGGGAGCTATGGAAAGGAGTGTATCCTCTCCTATTCTATTAACAGAAGCTGCTTCTCCAATGTTTCTAGTAAAACCAGTCATTCTGTAATAGTATGTGAAAGATGGGGTGAAGATATGCTGTAAAAAGAATGGTCAAATAAGAGATGGCATAGCCTGAAGCTGGTAGTAGGCAGAGCAAGAGACTCAGAAGGGACCTACCTAACTTCTCGGACTATAAAAGAAATGGTGGAGGATTTGTACTTTCAGACTCGCAAGATTCTATTTAGGGAGCCTTAAATAAAGTAGAATTAGTGTGATCTATTTGGAGGGCTGACATGATCATCATCATGTTGGCTATTCACATTATATAAATCTAAGAGAATTGCGTAAATGTAAAACTGGAAACAATACCTTAAATACATAGCAATTACATGTTCATTGGATCAAATAATCAACATGGACCTGAATCAAGAAAGCTCGTAGTAAGCTGTACAGCTTGTATAGCTTAGGACATGGATAATAATTACCCATTTGTCCATGAAACACCAGAAGTCCTCTATTATGCCAAACACTTACTCTACTGTATACTCTATCATAAACTATGTTCAGATCAGCAGGAAGACAAGCAATGTTTTCCTTTCACTGTCTCACAAAACTGTAATAGCAGGTCATTAATGACTCTTACATTAAGTACAAGATATGTGTCAAAAAATAAGAACAATATCAGTTGCTGAGGGCATTTTGACCTGGTCTTTGGGTCTTGCTTCTAGAGCAGGGGTGCCCAACTTCCTGTTTGAAACCGGGCTGCAGGGGAAATGGGCAAGCACATACGAGTGAAGCTCCACTTGTATGAGTGGCAGGCAAGCATATGAGTGGAACGCTTCACACGCGAGTGCAAGTGTCTGCCACTCACGTGAGTGGAGCTTCACACATGAGCGCAAGCACCCTCCATTTTCCCACGAAGCTCCATTTGTACAAGTGGAGGGTGTGCACACACACTGCTCGCAAAAATGGAGCTGTGCCCAGGTGCTTGCCAACCACACACCCCTCCCATACTGGGCCAGGTCGGCAAGTTACAAAGATTGGGACCACTGTTCTAGAGTCCCTTATATTCAATTTCTTCCTTGGTCATCATAGATACCTAGAAGTTTCATAGAAAGCTGAGAAGGATAGCTTCTTATATTGATCAGAGGCAGTTAATTCTCTCTTAGTAGGCTAGACAAGGGACCCGGTGGCTCAGTGGCTAAGATGCTGAGCTTGACGATCGAAAGTTCGGCAGTTCAGCGGTTCGAATCCCTAGTGCCGCGTAACGGGGTGAGCTCCCGTTACTTGTCCCAGCTTCTGCCAACCTAGCAGTTTGAAAGTACGTAAAAAATGCAAGTAGAAAAAATAGGGACCACCTTTGTGGGAAGGTAACAGTGTTCCGTGAGCCTTTGGCATTTAGTCATGCCGGCTACATGACCATGGAGACATCTTTGGACAGTGCTGGCTCTTTGGCTTTGAAACGGAGATGAGCACCACCCCCTAGAGTCAAAGGGCCAGGTTATCTTCAAGACCGCCTTCTACCACATAGCTCCCAGCGACCGGTAAGATCCCACAGAGTTGGTCTCCTCCGGGTCCCGGCTGGCGGGCCCGAGGGGAAGGCCTTCTCTGTGGCTGCCCCAGCTCTCTGGAACCAGTTACCTCATGAGGTCCGGACTATCCCCATCCTATTGGCCTTCCGAAAAGCGGTGAAGACCTGGCTTTTCCGGCAGGCCTGGGGCCATTGATCTCGCTTTGCGATCTGACGACATCCAGCCATGAATGGTGTGAATGGGTTTTAACGTCTTTAATGTTTTTAATTTTTAAGTGTTTTTATAGTGATTTTTTGAAGGTATTGTGAGCCGCCCTGGGTCTTCGGAGAGGGGCGGCATATAAATTGAATAAATAAATAAATTAATTAATTAAAAAACGATTAACACATATGTGCGAGTGGAACCTTTACCTTTAGGCTAGACAATTATTAATTTTCAAGTACAGATTTTTCTCATTTAGCTACTGTCTTGTTTAACACGTGTTTGCAATTATAATGGTGATTAAGGAGTAATTTTATGACCAATGCTCACATTTACGACTTTCACAGATCTGTAAAGCAAAAGAAAGCTGAAGTAAGATTATAAGCAAAGTCATGGTTTCACTTAGCAATTGCTTGGTTTAATGACTGAGTTGCCGATCCCAATTGCAATTGCTAAATGAGAGCTACCTGCAATATTTGTGGTGTTTGTTTATTGCTGTTTATTGTTGAGAAAGGCAACTCATAAAAAGTTGTAGGGGCACATAAGAACTTCACACCTCAAAATCAGAGATGTCCATAGGAAAATCAAGGCGACTGGTGTGAGCGTGAAACCACGCTCCACCTTTTACTCTGCAGTGCACATATTATAAAAAAAGTGTAATGTCTAAAGTATAAAAGTGTAATCTTCAACTAAGGAATCATAGCCATCATACTGACTTTTTAAGATCTTCCCTACAGGTGCCCTTGCCTGAAAACCTGCAATTTTGAGCTTATTAAACATTAGATTGCTTGAAAAAGAAACATACCAATTACATATGTTTAATAAAACCTCAACAGAATTTCCCAAGCTGTACTCTTATCATTTCAACAATAAAATACAATATACCAACAACTGACATCAAACCAAGAGTGTGAACTTTTGGTATTAATCACTGAAAGATCAAGTAGAGGGAAAGGAAACCAGATGCCAGGAATGAGAAGGGAAGGAGAGGGGAGGGGAGAGGAGTGGTCCAGGGTGGGTTCTAAATTTTTTATTACCGGTTCTGTGGGTGTGGCTTATTTTGTGGGCGTGGCTTGATGGTCATGTGACAATTCTTTAGGATTTAGCAGAGGTACTCGTCTACCAGGCTTTTAACTGCTTGCAGAGCTGTACCGGTCTACTCATTCATTTTTGGAGGCACCGGTCTACTCATTTGTTTTTGGAGGCACCGGTCTACCACCACACTGCCTTTTAACACTGATCAGCTGTAGGGCGGCCCTTTGAAGCCCCGCAGCAAGAGTTTAAACAGTTCTAGCTGATCAGCTGGGACTAAGGAGACAGCAATAGATTGGGGGTAGGGCCAAATAAAAGGTAAGAATAATGCGGGGGGCAGGGGGCAGAACCGGTTCGGTGACGTCATATCATCACCGCTGCCAGCTCAGTGGAACCGGGCAGAACCGGGAGGAACCCACCACTGGAGTGGTCCATTTTGGGCCACTGATAGGCTGAGGTAAGTATTATATGACTAATCTGAGACAAATGCAGATATTTGCCTGTAAACTTCAAAGTTCTATGTGCAAGATCCTGTTTGTATATTTCTGAATACCACTTGCTGGGTAGGAGATTCCGATAATTGAATTTTGAAGAGTGAAGTTGTAATAACGACCTGAGTATGGTACATGCAATGCAGAGGTGGGATTCACTTACCTTACCTACCAGTTCGCAAATATGTGTGCACGCGCCACCTCTGCGCATGTGCACGTCCTTCGGTGCATGTGCAGTAGTCGTGCATTACATCTGGGTGGGTGGGCGGAGCCTCCCGCAGTTCCCACTACCGGTTTGCACAATTCGAAGAGAACCGCTGAATCCCACCACTGAATTGCAATGGATACCAGCTCACATATCCAGCTTCTTTTTATGCGTGTGAAAGGAGCTGTCTGATTTATCTCTTATCTTTCCAGAGTAACTATCTTATGGTGATTGAAAATTCAGTGGAAGTTGCACAGTTCCTCAATAATCAACCCACATTTTTAAACCTTGCGGAGCCCTTCTGGCAAGAGCTTTCTAGACTGCCCTCCTTCTATGAATATAATGCATATCATCGACTCATTGAACTTTATGGAACACATTTCCTGCATTCTGGATCTTTGGGAGGATATTACAAAGCCATTTTTCATGTCTCTAAAAATAAAGCTAACTCAAGAGGTAATGTTTAATGTACTCATTTGCCAACACCAAGAATGTGATGAATATGAGTGAAATGTCTTCTGTTTTTGAATGTGGTTCTGGATTCTTATTTTGTTTGGTTCAGGCTTCTTTTACAAGTCAATCACATGATCATTCTAGATCCTGGAATTCACTATTTTATTGGGGTGGGAAGAGCTGTCATAGGTTGTTACCAGGGGTGGGCTTCAAAAATTTTAGCAAGGGGTTATCTGCCCGGTTGCTGGCTGGGCGTGACCATGGTGGGTGTGGCCTAGTTGGCCTCCTGCACCACAGTGGGGGGGAGCGTTTTCGCCCTACCCAGGCTCCAGAGGGTTTCCTCGAGCCTCCGGGAGGGTGAAAACGGCCTTCCCAGGCTCCAGAGGCCAGAAACTGGCCTATTTCTGGCCTTCCTGAACTTCCGGTAGGCCCATTTTTTTGCCCTTCCCAAGCCTCCATGCACGCCCTGCCCTTACCTGCATCCAAAACGGGTCGTGTGGGGACTCCTGGGAGGGACGGGTGGAGTGAGTGGGGCCAGCCAGGGGTAGAAATTGGGGGTTCTCCAAATTGTACAGAATCTTAGATAGAGGTTCTCCTGAATTCCTCCGAACCCCCAGCAGCCCACTCCTGGTTCTTTCACGTATTAGTATAATTTTAAAACTCTCTTTATGTTCTACTGCACAGCTCTGTGCCACTATCAATATTCCATGTTTTAACAGCAGCTAATGTGTTAGAGCAAAATAGGCAGAGAGAAATGATCAATTATGACGACAACTAAAAGCCACAGCTTGAATGTTTGTTTTTGGTACAATATAGCAAAGTGCAGTTTCTTGGAAGTAAGCAAGTGCCTTGTTACAGAAAAAAAGTTACTAAAAGACATAAGAGGGGCAACAATAATAATCTGAACAGCGCATTAGAGCTGTACCGCATTTCAGTTTTTATTTTAAAAGTTGCTTTGGAGCGTAGGGGGCTGTGAATGTGGCTTCTGCCTGCAAGTCTTTAAAAAGGATGGGTCTTTTCTTAAGTTTCTACAACTGCTTCCTGCAGCTTCCTGGAAAAGTTATGGTTGCTTTAAAGATTTGTCACGAGGTTGCTACATTCATGCCCCATTGTGCTTTAAAACACTTCTGAGAATCAAATCCAAAAAAAGGCACAATTGTGTTTTAACACTGTGCCTAAATCATGCCAAATATTAGATCCATTGTTTCTGCTATTTGCAAAGAGAAAAAAATAATCATTTTTAAAGTATATCTCTGTGAAGGGATTACAGAAATTAACAATTTATTATCCAGTTTGGCCCTGAACCATGTGTCTTAACCAGGGTGAAATCTAAAATTCGTTACTACCGGTTCTATGGGTGTGGCTTGGTGGTGGTGGTGGTAATGTGCAGGGCCGGATTTAGATGAAAAGAGGCCCTAGGCTATTCCACTTATGAGGCCCTTTCACCTATAGTGAAAGTGTAATTTTAATTTTGCTAACAATTTGAATGTAGGCCCCTCTTGATCTTGAGGCCCCTCTTGATCTTGAGGCCCTAGGCTGAAGCCTAGTTAGCCTATAGGAAAATCCGCCCTGGTAATGTGACTGGGTGGGTGAGGCCAACTTTTTTTTTTTTACTTTTAAAAGCAATTTTTTCTACAACCTCTTCCGCCAAAGAGGTTGCAGAAAAAAATGCTTTTAAAAGCCTCTGACAATCAGGCAAGTCAGCTGGGATCGCCAGAGGCTTTAAAGGCATTTTTTCCCTACAACTTCTTCGGCCGAAGAGGTTGCAGAAAAAAATGTTTTTAAAAGTTTTTTTAAAAAAGCCTCTGATGATCGTGCGGCTCAGCTGGGCATGGGGGGGGGCGGGCGCAGGGTTTTTTGCTACCGGTTCTCCGAACCACCTGCTGCCATCGCTACCGGATCCGGTCCGAACCAGGAGCATTTCACCCCTGGTCTTAACTTGTTTAAAATTGAAATTCCAAATTGTTAAACCTTGTCTTCATAAGACCATCTGTTTCAGCTATAAATAATATAATATGAATCTCCAGTACGTTATATGGTTGTGAAGGCAGGGCTATTTCTGGAGTGGTCTCCGGTATTATGCATTATGAATATTAAGGCAGTTCTTAAAACCATTTTAGTCCTTACTAAAATTCATAGCACTATTTGGTTTATTAGATTTCCTTTTCCATCCATGGATTGCTTTATGAATTGATGAATTACATAAATTCTATTTGTTATCAAGATAAATATTTAAAAGGGGTGCTTGTGATAAAAGTAGAATCAATAAATATATTTGCTCTGTTTAAATAGCAGGTTTATCTTGGGGCCTATAACTGCAAGAGCTATGGATCAACCTGAAAGACGAATGCATTAATCCACTTTCATGCAATGAAACCTTTCTGATGCTTGTCTGTTTCATTAGGGTACAGACTAACGGATATGGATAAATGCACTACTTCTGGGTTCTATGCAGTGATTGCAAAGAAGAAGAAAGTGGAATGTGAAACTCTCAATGAACTGGTGAAGCAATCTTCAGGTAAGGCACTGCAGGTATATTCCCAGGAAGATATGAGAATGTTCACTGTCAGCATTCCATGTTGATGGACTGAATATTTTGTTAAGGGACTTTGAATAATAGGGTGATTCTAGAAATACTGAACTCATATATTACTGGAAAAGGACATTTCGGCTCACTTGAACACTGTGCATTTCTTTTGAGATAGAAATGCTGTGTTTAAAATAAGGATGCAATTCTTTTAAACTCCACATTTTTATTAAATATAAACTTCTTAAGAGCACTTACGATTTACCATGTTTATTGACCGGGCTCATAAATCTTTTGATTGGGTTTATTGTTGGACAATATAAGTTCTTCAATTTTAAAATGTTCTGTCTGTCCTTCCAGGAGTCCACAACAATCAGATTAAAGCTGACCCATATGTAGAAGGAGGGGATCCCAAAACTGTGGCTGGTTTAAGTTTCATAGACGTTAACAATCCAGTTGCAAATACCCAACGATATTCCAGCTGGGCTCATACGGTGTCTCTTTATCCAGAGTTATTAAAAAAAAGGTAAGACTTTGATTGCTTTTAGATTAGGCACAATCTTTTGCAATAATCCAAAACTGAGCATTTTCAAACATAAAGATGATTAATGAGATCTTGTTTCTGGTTATTCCATATTGGCATATATTGTAGGCAGAGATGGGTTTCAGCAGGTTCTGACCAGTTCTGGAGAACCGATAGCGGAAATTTTGAGTAGTTCGGAGAACCAGTAGTAAAAATTCTGACTGGCCCTGCCCCCATCTATTCTCTGCCTCCCGAGTCCCAGCTGATCGGGAGGAAATGGGGATTTTGCAGTAACCTTCCCCTGGATTGGGGAGGGAATGGAGTCTTTACAGTATCCTTCCCCTAGAGTGGGGTGGGAATGGAGATTTTACAGTATCCTTTCCCTGCCATGCCCACCAAGCCATGTCATGCCCACCAAGCCACACCCACAGAACCAGTAGTAAAAATTTTTGAAATCCACCACTGATTGTAGGCCAATTCCAAATAAGCCACATTAAGACTTATCCCAATGTGTGATCCTACTATATATATCTATATGCATATTTTTGTTCACATGATTGCTAAATATATAAGGGACCATGGAACTTGCTTAATGTTTTCATTCCTTTCATTAGGCCTACCATATTGGCCTACCATATTGACTCAACTTTCAGTGACCATCCTGATCACTGCAAGATGGCAGCAGAAAACTAGAAGATTTTGTATCTATCTGCTACAATCTAATGGTGATTTAGGTTTTGCAGCCACAATATGTTACCTCTATATTTCACAATGTTTTCTGAACCTCAGCAACTTTAAGAGGTATGGACTTTAACTCCTGAGGTTGAGTAATGCTCATAAACCTACACCAGGTGTATTGGGAGTTGGTATGAAGTGCCATCTTGAAGGGCAGGCATCCTTCTCTCAAGAGTTTTATAAAAGACTAGCTGTACCCGGCCACGTGTTGATGTGGCTCAGTCTTGTGGGTATACAATATTTTTTGACCAAGTGCCAATAATTTCCCTCTGTAGCTCAGGTCACGCCTACTTTGCCTCCGTCCCACCAGTCTTTTCACTCGGTCGATTGGATTCAGAACTGAGTTGCCTTTCTCTACGTTTCTTTTTTGGACTTTAACGTCGCTTAATCAATTGCTTTCTTGGACTTTTACCTATTTGGTGCTTGTACTGGGAGAGCTGCGCGTTGTGGGAGTGGCGGAGGGCTCCGGCCAGGCTTCGCAGCAGTTGACATTTCCCGCCATTTTGTTTTGGGTTTCGTGGCGGCGGCGCTGAGGGGAAAAGACCTGGCTCGCGCCTGCCATTGTGATGCTGCGACATTAAAGTCCAAAAAGAAACGTAGAGAAAGGCAACTGAGGTCTGAATCCAATCGACCGAGTGAAAAGACTGGTGGGCTCTGCATATAGCGTGTGTTACTTTTACGTCCAACAGCTGTTTTTCAAAAAAGCATGTTTTTACCTGTCACAGGTGTGACATCTATATAATATAGGTATATAAAAACACGTGTGTATTCGAATGCAATGTTGTGCCAAAATTTCAAAGCAATCGATGAAGAACTTTCGGAGATTTAAAATTTTGAACAAACGAACATTTACATTTTTATTTATATAGAAGATTATTTGAATCTTGCAAGATTATCAGCTATTGTTAGATTTCAGGATCTCAGGCCTTAGATGCATACAATCTTACACAAGATTTTAACATTTTTTAAAAAAGAAAAGAAATAATCGTATGGGGTATGTGATTGCTTTCTATGGGAATTGCTGATGTTCTAAAGCAGTGTTTGTCAACCTTGGCAACTTTATACTGCTGGGACTTCTGGGAGTTGAAGTCTATGCACCTTAAAGTTGCCAAGGCTGAAACACACTGCTCTGAAGCCTCAGGTTGTGAATTCCTGACCCACATCATCTTTTTACATATGGTAGCTATGACCACCTCTTATATGTCGCCCCAGGATTCTGTTTTAAAGCTACCCACTGCTCTAAGTTAATTTCATCTTTTCCTATTTCAAACAAAAATAAAATGTTGCCTTGCTTTCCTGCATTTGTTTTGGTTCCTTAAAATTGCTGTTGACAATAAAAGCAGCTTGCCATTAACTCTGCTAAATAGAAGAATAACCAAATGAAAGCAACACACTTGTGACCATTTTGCATTCGTCAGCAAATTAGTTCAAATGTTTTAATTAGTCTAAACGTTGTTTTTAGCTCCTGGGCCAGGAGAAATTATACAACGTCAGATATTAACTATGCAAAAATGTACATAGATTTGTATGGAGCATAGCTAGGAGGCCTGTTTTAAATGCAGGTCAGTTACAGCAAGCAGTTTCATGGATTACTGATTAATTATAAGTCTCTAAATAACTGTAACCCTTCCTCTCTCTTCCCTCCATCCCCTTCTACAGATTATATTTTTGATGTCAAAATGCTGCTGTTCCCCCCCCCAAGCGTTTGTCTGAATGTTGTTTTACTTTATTTTATGTTATATTATGCAAAGCAGTTCTGTTTTTCATTATTCAGAAATGTTAAACAGATGGTATCTTGGAAGGCAAATGTAATTTCAATTCTTAAAAGGTTTGATTTGCATCAGAATTACTTTAACTATGGCTTTTATTTTTCTACTCTCTCTTTTTCACATTTGATATTATTGGTATGAGTTTTTGTTTTTTGAAATGTACCCTTAAGCCCTGCACTGAAAAAATGGGTACATTTATATAATAGAAATCTAATTTTAAATTTTACTATGTATTTAAAGTACTTCTAAAGGAACCATAGAAGGGACTTGGGCTGCTGTTAAAGTCACAGTTACTGTTTAAAGTTTTGGGGTAGGAAATCAATTTACAATGAGGTAACTGCATAAATTAAGTGTGTATATGGCAATATCTATCTGTCTGTCTGTCTGTCTGTCTGTCTGTCTGTCTGTCTGTCTGAGACTCTGTCCATTTAACAATTTTTCAAGATAGGCTAAAGATACAGAAGAATCTTGACAGACTTGAACATTGGGCGCTATCTAACAAAATGAAATTCAACAGTGAAAAAAGCAAGGTTCTACATTTAGGGAAGAAAAACAAAATGCATAGATACCATATATGTGGTACCTTGCTCAATAGTAGTAACTGTGAGAGGGATCTTGGAGTCCTAGTGGACAATCATTTAAATATGAGCCAGTAGTGTCCAGCAGCTGCCAAAAAAGCCAACACAGTTCTGGGCTGCATAAACAATGGGATAGAATCAAGATCACGTGAAGTGTTAATACCACTTTATAATGCCTTGGTAAGGCCACACTTGGAATATTGCATTCAATTTTGGTCACCACGATGTAAAAAAGATGTGGAGACTCTAGAAAGATTGCAGAAAAGAGCAACAAAGGTTATTAGGGGACTGGAGGCTAAAACATATGAAGAATGGTTGCAGGAACTGGGTATGTCTAGTTTGATGAAGAGAAGGACTAGAGGAGACATGATAGCAGTGTTCCAATATCTCAGGGGTTGCCACAAAAAAGAGGGAGTCAAATTATTCTTCAAAGCACCTGAGGGTAGAACAAGAAGCAATGGGTGGAAACTAATCAAGGAGAGAAGCAACTTAGAACTAAGGAGAAATTTTCTGGCAGTTAGAACAATGAATCAGTGGAACAACTTGCCTCCAGAAGTTGTGAATGCTCCAACACTGGAAGTTTTTAAGAAGATGTTGGATAACCATTTGTCTGAAGTGGCGTAGGTTTTCCTGCCTGAGCAGGGGGTTGGACTAGAAGACCTCCAAAGTCCCTTCCAACTCTGTTATTCTATTCTATTCTACGATAGCAAAATTATGCAATAGAAACAAAAAAAGAAAAAAGAAAGAGAAAGGAAATTGATGGGAGTCTGGCAGCATATTAAGTTCATGAATTTAATAATAAAATTATTATTATTGATAATCACACAGGCAGCCAGATGTTCAGACTGGGTTTAGCATTTTTGTCTACCTATTGAATCCTTACCAAGGACCTGGATAAGCAGATCTGGATGTTTGATGGTGTTAGAAATATTGTCGCAGGTTGGAAGCTGTTCCCAGTAAATCCACCTCCTGCAATTGACTGATGGCGAATTTGTCAATGCCAAGGGTGTTCAAGTGGTGGTCCAGTTGTTTTGGGATTGCACCCAAGGCACCTATTAGTATTGGTACCACCGTTGCTTGCCTTTGCCACAGTTGTTCTATTTCTATTTGTAGGTTTTTGTATTTTGTTGTCTTCTCCAGTTCTTTCTCTTCTCTTCTGCTGTCTCCAGGCACTGCCACTATCCAAACTTTTTTGTCTTTCTTATTGACAATTGTTTATTATTATTTTATTATTATTATTATTATTATTATTATTATTATTATTATTATTATTTATTGGTTAATCTTTAGTGAGATTCACAGCCTTTGAGGCTGGTTAATAGCTCAGCAGCTCGAGTCCTAACCAAGGACCTAGGAACTGTTAAGGTATCGTCGGAGGATGTAAGCTGTTCCGAGTAAGGTGGTTTTTTGTAGAGTCAAAATGTTCAAGTCCGGCAAATTTAGAATTTCTAAATAGCGGGGTAACCCTTTGGGTATTGCTCCGAGGGCTCCAATTACAATCGGGACAACACACGATTTCTTTTTCCACAGTCGCTCAACTTCAATTTGTAAGTCCCGGTACTTTGTGATTTTTTTCTTGCTGCTTATCTTCAATTCGTGCATCA